GTCCCTGAGAGGACCGGGCTCCCCAGCTCCATGGTCAGCACGTGGCCTTTCCCCTGGCTGCTCCCAAAATGCTTTTGCATCCAGGATGTAATTTGTCATATTTGCTATAATATAACTGTGACCAGCTTCGACTTAGTGTGTCTTCTGCACCAGTTTCCATACTTCTGCATGTCAGATGCAGTTAAGGTAAAGGAAGCTGCCAAGGTCCTAAGCAAAACGGTCCAGGAAAGGCAAAAAAAAGGCCCAAAAGCACAGCTCTGAGCTGGTTTAGTGATGCAGCTCCCAAAGCTGAAGACCAAGAACAGACACCAAAGATGTGCTCAGAGCTGCAGCCCTACAAAGCAGGGAGGGTTTGGGGGAGCTGAGGATAACCCAGGGTGGCAGCCCCAACCCACCCAAGCCCCAGCAGCACCAAACACGGAGGTGTGGGAACAGGGATGAGCAAGAAGGGGACCTTCCTTCTCACCTTCAGGTGAGAGATGATTCCCTCTAGTGACAGCCTAACCAGTAAAGATTTTGTTTGGGATAAACTGTTCCTCCATCAGGAAGAGCCAGCCTGCTGTTAGCCTGTTGAAATAACCTGCACCACTGGTGGACGTGGGCTTACCTCTGTCCCTGAAGACACCAAGCAGCTGCTGCAACAGCTCCTCTCCTCCTTCTGGACAGTGGTTTCTGGCTTGTGTGGCATGGCCATCAGCTTGGGATTAACCCAACCTTGTGGTGATGCCCTGCCTGCCCTTTAGCCACTGTGACCCACTGAGAGTGTCCAGGAGCATGCCCTGGTCCAAAACATCACACTTGATACAGGTGGGCAACAGGCAAGATCCTGTTTGCAGGCACACAGCTCCCAGAGATGCAGGCACATCTCCAAAGCTTCTAACACAGATAGATGCTCTGCTCTCTTTTTTCACTCCCCCTTTGCCTCCTTTTCCAATGAAACACCTCCCCTCTCAAGAGAGATAATGGCAATTACAGGGTTCATCAGGAATGTATCTGCCATCACGCAGCCCGGAGATCTCAAAATGCCAGTCTGCCCACTGGACCATTAAAGTCAATGGCTGTTCCTAACCTTTAAAGATGAATAGAGGTTGTCTTGCATAATGGATCGTGGACTATCCATGGAGACCATCTGCCCGGTGGCTGCAGAAATGCTCATGTTGTTCTTTACAGGAGTTCATTACTCAGAGCCTAATACTAAAAATACGTTGCAAAGGGCCTTATTTAAAAAACAAAGGGCTGGTGCAAACCTGGCGACAGAGAAACACAAGACCCAATCCAAAGCATCTCTGCCACCCAGGCTGGAGTTAAACTGCAACCAGACAGGCACTAACTTAATTTGAAAGGCAATGACATAATTCAGAATTAGTTTAATAGGACCTGCAATTCATACAGAAAACTCTGAATTTATGTAGTAATTAGCCAGAGCTTTCAGAATGCTAGATATCTGTGTGGCGAGAAAATAACTACACAGGTTATTAAAGTGAGGTAAAAATGGACCTGCTGATGGGGTTTTTTTTGTGCTAAACTCCACTTTCACTAAGTTAGACTATTTTTGATTAAACATACAATTTGCCAAAACACTGAAGACACTTAACAAGTCTGAATTTTCTATTAATCACTTGGACATCATTCTGCAAGAGATTAACCCCCCTACAAACCAGTCCCTCCCCGAGAGACACCCCCAGAGCCTAGCGAACATTAAAGCTCTGCAAGCTTTTCATCGATTTTCTCCAGGCTTCCTCCTCCGTTTTGAACTCCTCCTGGATCAGCTCTCCAGCCACCCACCCTGGAGGATGAGCCTGGAAATTGCTCTCCCCACCCAGTCCTCATTATCAGCCAGGGAAGCGGACGCGTCCTCAGAGGAGCTCTTCAAAGCACAGCCAAGATGTTCAAAGTTACCCAGTGACTGAGGATGCACAACTTCAGCCTCTGAAACAGGTTGGATTTTCTTAACAGAGCTGTTTGGCAGCAGCAGATAAAGCCCTTTCCAGTCCCTAGCTGGCCTGTAACGTTCCCTGTAGCAGAAGCCACCTCTGAGAGGCTCAGTCTGGTCGGGCTTCAGAGCATCTCCCCAGTCCCCCTGGGATGCCGTGGGCGACCACCTCTCCTGGGCATCTTCCTCGCTTGCTTTCTAAAGGAGAAGCTGGGAGCACCCTGCTCTCACACGCTGCGCCGGTCCCGAAACAGAGCCAACCCACTCAAAAAGAAGAAACTTATTAAAAACTGGGAAAGCACTGGGGGACAGCCTAAAAAAAAACGCATCAAACCTGGGGCTGGAAAGTTTAAAGAGTCAAAGAGAAAGGGAGAAGACATCGGGCCAGATAAAGCAGGACACGATCCCAGTGTCAGCCCGAGGCAGGCAGCAAACCCCATCACGGATACCTTGGCATGTTCCACAGCAAAAGTTACAAACTCAAAGAAATAGTAATTTTTTAACCACTAAAATTCAGACTCTTTCATTTCATTTCTGCAAAAACAAGGTCAAAACGAGCTTTTGTAGGAAGATTATTTTTTTCTTTTCAAATGAGAAGAGTTTGTTTGGGCTCTGTTAAACATCTACTTAGACTTGCTGTTTACAAGATACAGGAAAAGGTGACAGCAGTCCCACCTCCAAGAGCAGACCAATGACGGCAGAACAACTGCTGCATTTATGAATGCTACAGCACAAGATTTTACAACCTTGGTACCTGAGAAAAGGATATTGTGCAATGCTCGACTGAAAATATGCCTGGCCCATTTTAGGATCGCCCAAACAAGACTCAAATGCTGCGGTCCCTCTCCGAGGCACCACCCCCTGACAAGGTCGGAGATGTTTCTGCACCTTCTCCCCAGCGCAGAGAGATGCTAAAGCCACATCTAACCCTTGGGCATTTAAACCACTGCCACCCAGCCCATGCAAGAAGAGCCATTCGTGTAAGAACATCTGCAACTTCTTTAACACCATGGCCATCTCCTGGCAGCCAGCTTGAACACAAACAGGCTGGAGACAAGACTATTATAAGCAACCATGGAATTGTATATATATATTTTTTCCCCAGCGCAGAGAGATGCTAAAGCCACATCTAACCCTTGGGCATTTAAACCACTGCCACCCAGCCCATGCAAGAAGAGCCATTCGTGTAAGAACATCTGCAACTTCTTTAACACCATGGCCATCTCCTGGCAGCCAGCTTGAACACAAACAGGCTGGAGACAAGACTATTATAAGCAACCATGGAATTGTATATATATATTTTTTCCCCAGTACTTTGGTTCCTGTGCTGGGCTGGCCCAGGGAAGGCAGGCAGCTCCTGAGGAACTCTGCTTTTCAGGGCTGCGCCTGTTGCAGGGCGCTGCGGTTCAAAGCACTGTTGGTTTAATAGCTCACATTTGAATTTCTAGGAAAAAAAATGAACACACTTTTCTGCCTGGCAGCACTGACACGAGCCTGTATTGTAGACTGAGTTTGACCTAACAATGCGTTTCTATTTGGATATTTCAACCATTTCTCTCTCTTTTTTAACAGTTGGTTTAATAGCTCAAATTTGAATTTCTAGGAAAAAAATGAACACACTTTTCTGCCTGGCAGCACTGACACGAGCCTGTATTGTAGACTAAGTTTGACCTAACAATGCATTTCTATTTGGATACTTCAACCATTTCTCTCTCAATATTAAAGTATTAATACCTAATCACTACTAGCTTGTTCTACGCGGCAAAAATCCCTTAATTTTTTAATATTAAAAAGTATTAACACCTAACCCCTACTAGGTCATTCCACACAGCAAAAATCCCTTAATTACACGCTTAACATTAACTTCAGGCCAAATCATTCACTGACGCTTTATTTTGCAGCGAGGACAGGCTTAAGCAGCTACCTGCAGACTCGATGAACATGGGGAAAACTGCTTTCCGTGCCACCCATGCCAAACGTTACTCTAACAGCACGTACCTGGTGCCTGACAGGAACAAGATACTCTTATATTTTAAATTCATCGTCACAACAGCCCGGCCAATGGGGCTGGCAGCTTTCCCTTCGGTGCCTTCAGCTGCTCCACATCCAGCAGAAACCAAGCTGTCACCTTCCTGAGGTCTTCACCACGGAAACACCTTCACCCAGGACCCCGCTGGGATGGAGCGGGATCCCACAGGCAACATGGGTGCATTAACCCAGCTGCAACAGCCAGCTCCCAAAATCCCTGACCTACCTACAAGGCAAAAGGTCTCAGGCAAGATGGGGACACGTGGGTGAAGAAACCAGCCTCCTCCTTCCCCCAGACAGACGCTGCTCGGGACTCGTTGCAGGGGTTACACCAAGACAGGCAGTGACAAGAAAAGTAGTCTTTTATTTCAATTAATATTTCTTGGCATTAGGCAGATATTAAATAACACTGGAATGCACAAGACTATTAACATATCGACAGCAAAAGGGAGGAGGTGTAGCCAAGTGGAGAACAGCAGTGCGAGTCACGTCACCTCGGGGCACTCAAAAGCCATTGAACGCAGCAACCACCAGAAAGTAGGACTCCACTGAGAAATACAAAACGAGGATGAACCCCTTTCAGGTCTTCTGTTAATACAGTAACGTTGGAACGATTGACAGTAAAAATGAACAAATATTTGCATTCAGGAATTAAACAGAGTGAAATATCCACAAACTGCTAGTCATGCATTTCTTCTGGAAACAGCAATTTGCTAATGCATAAATATCACAAAAAAAACCCAATCTCCAAGATTTGAGTAAATCACAGACAACTAGAAGAAACAAAGCTCGAATTCTATTTTATGCCTTAAATAGATGACCTAAATATTTAAAATTTTACTTCACCATATATATATAATTTATATATATATTAAAAGAAAGTAAAGACCATTAGATAAGTGCAAGCAATTTTCCTCAAAAAGAAAATTGGAACCATGCCCAGGAAAGCTGCGTTTGTTTTTTTTTTATTTTTTTTTTTTATTTTTTTTAACTTTCTACACCATTCAGTCCACTTTTTTTTTTTTTTTTTTTTTTTTTAACTTTCTACCCCCTTCAGTCCACTTTTTTTTTTTTTTTTTTTTAACATAGTAATTTCCGAAGCAAAATAAATTATCTACGATCTGCTGTGTTGGGTAAAAGAAGTCCTACCTAGCATCTTCTCGGGAGCTACCAGGACATCACCTTTTCTTACGGCCTAAGTGAAGCGGCACCATCTCGCCAGCGACTCCCACCTCTTTTGTAGCTGCATGTAAACATACCTTCCGATTTACGTCTCAAAGGTGGAGAGTGAACGGTAACGTTACGGGGAAGCGGGACCGGAGCTGCCGAAGGAGAGCTGCCCCGGGGTTAGTGGGGGGAGCTGGGGCTGGTTCGCTGGGACGCGCACACGTACACACACACACACGCACACACCACACGCACACATACACACAATCTGGCGAGGGGATCTGACCCGGGGAGTTGTGGAGGGACGGTTGAGAAGGCATCCGTTTGCGAGCAAAGCTTGAAGGACACGAGCCGAGGTTCTCTGTGCACACTGTCCACTTTTAATCAGAACTGGCTCGCGCTGCTGGGGTCGCACTGTAACAACCGCACGATGGACGGGTCGCTCTTGGCACCTTTGATGAACTCTTCCAGCGACAGTTTACCTGGAAGGGAGGGAAACCAACACGGAAATGATAACTTAAATAAAATAAAATCAGTTGGTGGTGCTGCTGTTGATGTAGCTAAAACCCCCCCCCCCAAACCCTCCTCTCTGAAGCAGCAACATACGTATATTTAATCTATCGCAAAGGCATCCCGGGGAATTTAGCGCAATGCACAGCAGCCAAATCCTACTCAAGCCCTTAAGCCCAGATGCATTTTTCTTCTGCAAAACAATCTAGCATAATAATTGTTATTTTTTTATTTAAAAAGACAGTACCAAATATAAAAACAACTGTTCTACCATAATTTGGCGGCTTTTTGCCCAGAACCAGGCTATACACATTTCATGACACCTGAACACAAGTAGGCTTTGAAAATGCTGCTTATATTACTATGGCATTTTAAACCTAAATATCCCAAATCTCCCCACTTCGCCCTCTTGTCTCTTGTGACATGTAGGGCTGAGCAGTGGTGGCTTCTCCTGCATCTACATGGCCAGGCTGGATGGGGCTCTGAGCAGCCTGATCCAGTGATGGATGTTCGTGCTCATGGCAGGGGGGTTGGACTGGATGACCTTTAAAGGTCCCTTCCAACCCAAACCGTTCTGTGATTCCACCATTCTACAAGCCACTTGCTGTGCCCTGCAGGGTGTACAGGAACAGGACTGGCTACACGCCCCCGAAGGGGTGGAGGCACCAGCTCATCACGCTGGCTTTTACCAACCCCAGGATGCCGCCAGCCTGCCACGGGGACATGGAGAGGACTGAGCTCAGTGGCCAGCTCCTGGATTAGGTTGAGCGGGGAGAAATAAGTAAACCTTCTTGTAGAAATTACAGAAGCTCAAAAACCCATGGCACACTTCTGCCCTAATTTCTGGCTTTTAAGCTAATGTTATAGAGCCATAAAGTCATAGAGTTGTCCAGGCCGGAAGGGACCTCCAAAGGTCCTCTAGTCCGACCCCCCCGCAGTCAACAGGGACACCCCCAACTAGACCAGGTTGCCCAGGGCCTCGTCGAGCCTCACCTTGAATATCTCCAGGGATGGGGCCTCAACCACCTCCCTGGGCAACCTGTTCCAGTGCTCCACCACCCTCACAGTGAAGAACCCTCTCCTAATCTCCAGTCTAAATCTGTTCCCCTTCCCAAACCAAGTGTTTTCTTAAGTTTTTGTCAGCCTGAAAAAGAGTACTCATAACTATCAGGACTTTTATTAGTTTTTCCCATCTCCTTCCAATACTTAAAAGCAAAGCACAAATCAAAATTTATTTGCAATGTCCAACAGTCAGATGGGGAAGAAGAAACGTTTCCAGCCACCGAGATCACACTCGTGTCCCCGTGCATAGACTTTTACTGCTTGGCACCACGTAGCGTGTGCTGCTGGGAAAAGAATGACTTTATTTTGGCAATGAAGTGCAGCAGACGGGGGATGGATACAGCAGGTTTTGTGGCCACTACTCTGTCGCACATCTGCAAGCACCGCTACTCCGCAGAACAAAAATACTTTCTTTAATGGTGTTATTTTAGGGCCCTCCACATGTGAAGTCAGGGGGTGAAACGCTAGTTTTGATGAAGTCAAAGGTGAAATACTCAAGGACTTCAGCAAGGCCAGGAATTTGCCCCTGGGGCTGCAGCAGCAGATGCCAAAACGCAGATATAAAATTCTCTTAAACGAAAACCATTCTATTCGTAAGATCATATTTTCCCAGGTCTCCACATCTCAGCACTAAAACCAATTCTTTGCTCCCTCTGGGCACTGGTATCAGTAGGATACAATTCCTGATTTTGACATGGGCGGCTGCCACCTCCGGAAATTCCCAAGTGAAAGCTCCACCTCGACTAGGACGAGAGGAAACCCATCATCGGGCTGATGGGCAGAGGAAATGTCTCGATTCTGCCTGTGTTTTTGGAGCCTAAGGAAATGAGCTAGTTGGGTGTGTGTGTGTGTGTGTGACGGGTACACGGGTACACTGTCAGATAATTTACCCAGCGGCTCCATAATTGGCTCAGGGGCTGTTTCATCCCCCCGGTGCACACACTGCAACGAAGGAAACACTGCAGGTTGGTGTGTCACCATGTGTACCCGTACACACACTGCAAACATGCACAGAAAATAAGTATTATGGAATCAGGGGAATTTTTGCTTTCAGGTACCCGAGCACATCTGACCCGCATTACTGACCACAAGCCCAGGAGCACAGCCCTATCAAGGGCAAAAGGAGTAAAACCTCCTGCCCAGTTTGTGCTATGCCTGGAGAAAATAACCCAAAGATACTGGATGCAGGGGAGTTTCAGAGGAGCCTTTGCAGAAGGGGATTCGCCCATGAAATGTCGGGAAAAGACATCCATCCTTTCGTCCTCCCAGCAGGAAAAGTCTCTCACCTGCTGCCCACTTTTTCACCCTATATGTTATGGGTGAGAGATGCTCACCGAGGTCAGGCAGAGACCACAGGCACCGGTGGGGACATCCCTGCCCTCTGCCACCCCCAAATACCACCATCTGCTTCCACCAAAGCCTGGCTAGAAAATCTCTGTTCCTAGAGCCTATGAAGAAGGGCCGGTGGAGATCCTACCGTCGTTGTTTGTGTCCATCTGTCTGAAGATCTTGTCTGTTCGCTTCTCGGGAGTGGATTCATCCTCTGGCATTTTCATTACTGACGAAACCATTTTGTAGATTGCCTGAGTATTAAAAGAAAAAAAAAAAAAAGAGAGAGGGAAAAAAAAAAGATATAGGAAAAACACGACCGAAACAATAAAGCATCAGGACCGAGAAAAAGAATTTAAGCCTGTAGCAATAAAAAAAGGCAGCTGACCCTGGCAGGCAGCTGCAGGACTTTATAAACCAAAACAAATAGGAATTTCTGGCTGCAGCTTTTTTTATTTCTCTTTCCTGTATTCATTTGTGCTTCAAAAAAAGCTCCTGAACTGCTGGGTCAGTTTAACTGAAAGTCAGGGTCTAGATTAATGTACGAGCAGGACTGAGCTAAAATACAGGAGACCATGGTGTGTAATTTTGTTTTCTGCACCTGGGCTAAGCCATCGCCTCTTTGGCTGGCTCTTAACATACACTCAGCTACACATATGCATGTGGGGGTTGTATGGGTTACAGGAGAATATGAATATATAGGAATAGGCATTGTTTTTCGTTGTGGATGGGTAAAGAAATGCATTTTCAGACTTACAAGATGTGAGTAAAGGCGAGAGACACCTCTTGAGGACATCTGCAGTCCTAGCCCTCCTCCTAAATTATCCCTGCTCAGCCACAAGGACCAACCACGGGGGAACTCTCCAGATGCATTACATGCTTCCCAGTGCCCCGAGACACATCCCAGCCGCAGGGGGGATGGCAAGCAGCCCTCGGCACAGGGGGCTCTGCCCCACACGCCCCCCAGAACAGCCCGTGGGCTACGCGTCTCCGGTCTTCGGGAGATTAAGACACGCGACAGTCTCTCATTCGGAGCTCATGTTGACTCAGATTTGAAGTTTCAAAGTACTAATTTTGAGATGAATCAGGTCAGTAAAATTTGCATCTAGGGTTTTTCGATCCCATCAACACCCCATTAAGAAACCCCCAGGGAGAGCTGCACGCTTTTGGCTGCAGGCCAGGGGCATAATGCCTTGTTCCCTTGTTCGTCTCTCAGGCTCTTTCCTCATTTGCACCTTGTAGATGCCACCATGAATGACCCCCAGTGTCCCTGTGGGGACCGCAGGCTCAGGAGCCTCCCTGGGGCAGGAGGGACCCAGCTCAGCACATCCCTCAGCTCCAGCTATCTCAGGGTGAGGAGGTTACAGCAACGGGAATGAAATATAAAATGGAGACAACGCCTCACCTGCACTATTTCTAGCATTTCCCCGCGACTGATGTAGCCGTTGCCATCCAGGTCGTACATACTAAACGCCCACTTCAGCTTCTGCTCCAGCTTGCCCCGAGAGGTGACGCTCAGGGCGATGATGAATTCCCTGAAGTCAATGGTCCCGTCGCCGTTGGTGTCGAAGGTGCGGAAGACGTGCTCCGCAAACTTCGAGGCGTCGCCGTAAGGGAAAAAATTGGCGTATATTTTTTTGAACTCTTCCACAGTCAAATGGCCCGTGGGGCAATCTTTTAGGAAGCCCTTGTACCACTCCTGCAGCTCGTGGTCCGTGAACTCGGTGTTCTCGCGCAGGTCCTGCAGCACCTCGGGGCGCAGCTTGCTGTTCTGCTTCCCCATCCTCTTCGGGATCCGGGTTCAGGGGCTGCAAAGCAAGAGAGGACACACTGCAGCTCTGGCCCCGCTTGGCAGAGAGGGGCTGGGGGCAGGCAAAGCCCTGAGGGAAACGCAGGCTCTGCCCAGGGCAAAGGGGCAAGAGGAGCAAAAGGATGCTAAAAATCACTAGGAAAATATTTCATCTGGCCTCTTTTCCTCTCCCCTAGGCTCTCTCGGTTACTAGTGTGCTGCTGAACGACAGGGGAAGGCAGTTTGGGAGGTACTATTTGGGAAATATTAACCCTTATTATTAATCCGTATTATTTGGGAAAAAATTTCCAGCGATAGGACAAGGGGCAGTGGGCTCAAGCTGGAACATAGGAAGTTCCATTCAAATATGAGAAAAAACTTCTTTCCGGTGAGGGTGCCAGAGCCCTGGGACAGGCTGCCCAGGGAGGGTGTGGAGGCCGCTTCTCTGGAGATCTTCAAGCCCTGCCTGGATGCAGTCCTGAGTGATGTGCTCTGGGCAATCCTGTTTTAGCAGGGGGGTTGGCCCAGATGCTCTCTAGAGGTCCCTTCCAACTCTGACAATTCCGTGATTGATTATTTTATTTCTCTGCTACAACCCCACTCCTCTATCATATAGCTTGCAATGCCCAGGTCTGGATCTCAGCTCCTGACCCACCCCAACAGGCTGATCTGCTGTGGTGACCCAGGCGGCGAGGACAGCAGGGGCAATGAAAAGCCAAATCCCATCTATTTAAAAGTGAAAGGAAGCAGGGGCGAAGCGAGGGGCAGGAAGGGCAGGCGGTGCCGTGCCAGTCGTGTTTGCACCCCCCAGAAGCTCTTTGAAACCCCTTGGCTTATGGAGCATCTCCTTCTTCCCTGCATCCCTCGCCCCGCAGCAGTGGTGGGGCTTGGTGGGTGCTGCTGGTGGCACCCCGGGCATCACAGGAGGGTGCAGCAAAGCTGGGCTCAGCACAGCCCACGCTCGACAGCATCACCCTGGAAGACCTCTCTCTCTCTCCTTTTCAACCAGGGAGGCAGCATGAGCAGCCGGGTCGCTGCCAGAGCAGCACTGGCACAAGGGACTTCACCCTTTCCAGCAGATCACAATCCTCTGTCCTCCCAGACAAGCAGAAAAAAGGGCTTTTTAAAGCAAAATGTTTGGCAAAGCAACTCCTTTCAGGTTTATCAGGTTTTATGCTTTTAAATAAGCTTATTCAGTAAGTTCAATATTCCCCAACGTGGGCAAAAGGGCATTTTAACCTCAGGATTTTCTCAGGATGTCAGGAGGGGGTTGGATTTGTCCCCTCCTTTAGCGGTGCCCACAATGTGTGGGGCACTGCCCAGGTGAGACCACCCAGCAACAGGAAAGCTCCTTCGACAAAAGGGAAGATGTTCAATCTGCACTTGGGAAACGACAGAAAAGCACCCGAAAACGTGACTTATTTTTGGCTTTTACCCCTTTGAGCCTTTCACAGCTTCCCAGCAACACCAAACCAAGCTGCCAAGCAAGGGGTTGAGCTGCGTCTCCTTCCCCAGCCTCAAGAGGCTTCCTCCCAAGCTTTGCACAAAGTCACATCCACGCCCCTGTGACATTCTCTGCACAGATTTTTATGACCCTGTTAGGCTCACCCACAGCCAGTGCAGAAGGCAGGCTAATAATGGGCCAACACCACACGGCTACTCGGAAACTGCCAGAGCTGAGCAACAAAGAGTGCAGAGACCAGGAAAAATGTAACGGGGGCTAAGCACTTCCCAGAGAGTAAAAATCCCAAGCATGCATAAGAACCTAAAAAAAAAAAACCAAACCAAACCAAAAAATGTTAAAGGTCAGCAAAAAATAAGTTGCTCTACAGCAGAGAGATTTTCAACAGCTGAATTTAAGCCTGTTTTATTTGTATTCCACTTAGTCTCTGCATCGCCTCAGCAATGTAAAAAATCCACATCCTGCTCTGTGGCTTAATGCTCGGAGACAAAAACCAGCCAGCTGCTCATTAGTTCAATGCATCGGGCTTAACAGAAAACTGTGTTATCATTAGCACTTCTGTTTTCTAGAAAAGCTGCCAATATTTCAGCTCCAAAGCTTTATTTTTGTCCCATTACACTGCAGAGTTTTCTCCGGGCTCCTGACATACCTCTGCTTGCTCCCAACAGGCAGGGATGCTCCGTCTCCCGGTCCCTGCCATCACCATCCATCGGAGAGCACCGGGCTGCCCTCCGGTTAAACCACTAACTCCCAGCTGCTCCTGCTGCCTCTCCATCTTTGAATCTCCTCTGCTCCAGATAGTCATCCTTGCAGCGCCAAGGGCACAAAGCACAATATTCTACTCTGCTGCAGTCAATTTGCAGAAAACAGTGCCTTGGAGCAAATAACCGACTGACCGCGGCCCTTTCTTTTCCCCGCTATGTTTCTGTCCTTCGCTGAGGAGGTGCCTTCAGGACCCACCCTTCAGCAAACCCCCTCGCTTCATGATGCCTGGGTGCTTTGTAAGGTCTACTGTGCCTGTCCAAAAGCAGTCCCTGCCTCGCTGGCTGCTGTCTCGGACTTGCCTGGGCTTTGGTGTAGCCCTGGGAGAAGGGCAGGAGGAGCAGCAGAGCCCGCTCGATGCAGGAGCTGGACTTGAAAGCAGAAATACACTCAGCTTAAATCACACACAGGGACTGGGGGACTGTAAAGCTTCCAACCGGCACTAAAAAGAGGTTTGAAGAGGTTTAATGCCATTTCTCCCTTTTCCTATAATACCTTTATTATTTCTGTTACCTTAAATTAGAGGCCTCCAGACAACAGAGAGCTAAGATGTTAACTTTATTTATTAGATTTCACTCCTCCTATTAGCAGTAAGATATATCCTGTCATTTGGATGGATGCTCATTTAGTATCAGCTTCAAAAGCTTTATATTCAAGTTGTCTTCGCGTTCAACAAATTACAGGCTATTTCAACCCTTTCTCCTTTTACATTGGTTTATATCAGAAAAGTAATGTGCAATGCTCTGAACACAACCTCTTTTTGCATATGAGCTTTCTGAAAGGCTTCATAATGTGTTCAACCCAAATATAACCCTGCAGTTGTTGTAACCAATTTGTTACGAATAATTAAATAACCAACATTAACACTAATTTATTAAAGTCCAGCTAAAAAAAACCCCAGCTTCAATGTGAATTGTGTTTTCAGGTAGCTCCTCTAAAATGAAATGCCTAAATATCTCATTAATCATGACAGCAACCCCTGCTGCTGGCATCCAACTGACATTTCATTCAATTGCTATAAAATGCTTTCATCAAATCACTTTCCAGAGGCTCAGTGGCTGATTTAGCCACAAGACCACTTGGAGGATGGCTGCTAATGGAAATCACAGGGATTAGGCCTGGGATGCTCAGGTCAGTCCTGTGATTAGGGCTGCGGGGTGGTGTTTTTTTTTTCAGAAGAGCCTGTACCAGCCAAATCACTCGCTGCAGTGGGTGCAGAAGGCGAGGGAGGAGAGACATCCTTGCACCCAAGGTAGCCCCGAGCAGTCAGCAGAGACCTAACTCCAACACAGCCTGCCTGTCCCTCATTTTCCACCACGCCAGGGGAAATCCCGGGAAGCGATGCCACATAACGCTGCACCGAGGTCTGTCCTCGCTCAGCTTGATGAGCAAAAAGCCCTCAGAACATCTGGCACTACCGTGGCAGTAGCAAAAATAATCACAGGAATGCCCTTCAGGTGACCAGGCAAGGAAAAGCTTGGAAGTATAACTGCAGACCAGTAGACTTCACAAGTAAATCACTGCTCGTGAAAAGTGATGCTCAGTCATGTGAGGCTCAAACAGTGGGAAACCCAGATACACGTTTTGTGCCAGTTTCACATCAAATTTTTTGTTAAAATTATGTGGTGCTGCTGCCTGCCTGCAATAAGTTACATCCAGCCAGGCAAGAAACTGAGATGCCAGAGAACTCCTACCTGAATATATCCTCTGCTCTTCTAGGCTCACCAAAAAATAAGCAGTAATCTCATAGCAAAAGCCTAGCAATGAGGAAAAAGGTCTTTTACTGAGGCCAAGGCGCACACGAGCTATGCAGCACTGCAGGGAGAAACTGTAGCTAACTCTGAAATAGCAATTCTGTGTTTTTACCAATAGATGGACTGGTTGTCAGCATCCACGCGCTGAAGTATTTTTAATACTTCTAACAAAGGTCAGTGCATCCTACTTTTACATGAACTCTTCGTCAACCACCAGTTACTGTGGATAGAGCACGTAACCCAGAAAGCTGGAGATTAACCTGGCTTTTTCACTGCAAACCTTCTGAAAGCAAAAACCCCCTTGAACTGAACTCCTGATGGGATCCTCTTAGTGCATCAGTTACGGCTGCGAAAGGAGGAATGACTCCTCAGAGATGCACTTCCTTGTGCAATGCCCCCTTGGATACTGATTTAGTGCTAATAAAAAGAGGAAAATTGATGAAATGCCTGTCTGTAGGACAGAGCTGCTCTCCAGCAGAGAAAGACAGCGCACAGAGAAACAGAATAAATACTCTTTATATTATCTGAGCTACCTGCTTTGCAGGGGGAAACCTAAGCACCAATTCTCCTGCAGTGCTCTCTTACCAAACAGAACAAGCGTGTCTGAGATCTGTTATGGCCCTGAAGCTCCGTGCCTCTGGGACTGCAGGAGCCCCAAGCAAATGAACTGCATAAGCCAGGCAGCAGATACTGCTCTAAGTTGGTGTGAAATGCAAGAAGCATTCCCACAGGGGTGGAAGATTTTTTTTATTAAAACACCTGAAGCGTCAGATCCGTCACCGATGCCTTCTGCCTTGGGGTGCAGATGAAAAGACAAAAGGATTTAGCTCCCAGGGCTGAATGTGAGCATCGTGTTAAGAAAGTCTTTGCTTGGAAACACTATTTTACAGTGATGGTGGTTAAACACTGGCATAGGCTGCCCAGAGAAACTGTCAAGTCTCCATCCTTGGAGATACTGAACACCCAACTGGACATAGTCCTGGGCAATCTGCTCTAGCTGACCCTGCTTGAGCAGGGAGGTAGGACA